ACTGACCACCCTAACCCCTCCCGCATGGTATCCACCAGTCAGTTCTCAGTGTCTGTGAGTCTACTGCTGTTTTGTTCATTCTGTTTTGCTTTGCATTTATATTCCACAAATAAGTGAAATCATATGGTATTTGTCTTTCTCCACCTGGCTTCCTTCACTTCACATATTGTCCTCTAGGTCCATCCATGTTGTCACAAATGGCAGGATTTCTTTCTTTTTTATGGCTGAATAATATTCCATTGTAAATATGTACCACCTCTACTTTATCCATTCATCTATTGACTGACACTTTTGTTGCTTCCATATCTTGGCTATTAAAAATAATGTGGTAATAAACACAGGGGTGCATGTATCTTTTAGAATCAAGGACTTTGTTTTCTTTAGGTAAATTCCTAGAAGTGGAATTACTGGATTGCATGATATTTCTATATTTAGCTTTTTGAGGAACCTCCATACTGCTTTCCACAGTAGTAAATTGGTAGCTGCACCAATTTACATTCCCACCAACAGTGTAGAGGGTTCCCAAACACATACTCTTTTGACAAAATAGAGTTCCAGGGTCCATGTTTCAATCAGATTTAGATTTAATTACTTACTAGGCCAACTGTCTATATTTTTTATATGTCACATACATAATTTACTGAGTTTGCCTGACATATGAAGCCAAACCCAATACTAAATGATATGGGGAAAAAAATCCTCTATAGCTCTGATGAATATTTCTAAATTGGCGTGGCCAACCTGATTAAGATCTACAGGATTGCTTTTAACAGCATGACAGTTATTTTGTGGGCTGTGAAGTAAGGTTGACTTCATTTCAAATCTCAATCCCAACTTCTCTACTTCCCAGTTATTGTCTGGGCTCGTTAGATGATACATTTGTGAATAGAAAAAAACGGAATCTCTCCTTAGCCAGAGCTGAACAGAAAGGAGGGCCCTTATCTGAGAAGCTACTGAGCCATAATTTAAAGCCATAATTTCATAGTTTCAACCAGACTGTATACATGTATGTGTGTGTTTAAAGGAGTCTGCCAATAAGAAGCACATGATTCCACTTCTAGTTTTGAAAACAGAGACTCAGATACTTGTACACACATCTTTATTGCAATGTCATTCACAATAACCAAAGGTGGAAGCAAACCACATGTCAATCCACAGAGCAATGGATAAATAAAATGTGGTATATACGTACAATGGATCATTATCCAACCATAAAAAGGAATGAATGATGTATGTCAGAACATGAATGAATCTCAAAAACATTATATAAAATGATACAAGCCAGACACAAAAGGACAAATGTTTCCACTTATATGAAATATCAAGAAAAGGCAAATTCATACAAACAGAAAGGCGTTAGAGGTCACCAGGGCCTGGGAGGAGGGGAAATGGTGAATTATTGCTTAATGGATACAAGGCTTCTTTGGAAGGGGCGAGGAAAAGGTTTTGGAAACAGACAATAGTGATGGTTGCACAACATCGTGAATGTAATTAATGCCACTAATTCATACACTTAAAAATGGTTAGAATACAAAAAAGAGAAAAAAAAGAAACTAAAACCAAACAAAGAAGCATGTGGGTCAGCAATGGGCCGGCTTATTTATTTCTGGCTGGAATAAAGAGGCCTCATTTGAAAACGGGAAGCTACAAAAGGAACGAATACAGTTTCGCAGAATCATGTGACGTACAAGCTGTAGTGTCAGTGAGGGGCCTTCTTGCTGATGCAGCTGGGAAATTTCTATTTTTTGCATGTAGAGAGGTTACCATCTCTACAAATTAATATTTATCTTTTGGAAGGATGTGTGTGAGGATGTGTATATGTGTATATTTGTGTGTGTGTGTGTGTTATTCTCTGGACAGCTAGATGAAAATATGGTGAAGGCCCAGCTCACATCCAAGCACACAACTTAAAGAGACGGGATTGCATGTGTCCACACCCATGGAGGCCTCTGCAGAGATCTTGGAGCCTCCCTCCTTCCCTGACCCATCTGTCCTGTGGAATTCACAGCGCCAATGGTGACCACCCTCTACTGACTCTCTGGTGCCCTGAGGAATCTTTTCTCAAGTCTTAGAGCTCTGAATAACTAAAGAGGAAGCATGGATTCTTGGGTAAAAATAACCCGGCAACCCAAAGTAGAGTGTCTTATGGAGAGAAGCTAAAAGAAGAAAGTCTATAACAAACAGGACTGGACTGGAGGAGTAGGAACAGGACGTGGTTATGAGAAGAGCTCCTGTGAAGTGTTCAATTCTTGGGAAATTTTTTTCTTAAACTACAAAAAAGCCATAATTAACCTATTAATTTATATGACTTCTCTCACAGGAAGTATTCCCCTTAGTTTCCCCAACACTTCAGTAAAATGTTCTGTACCATTACAATGTAGTGTGGCTGTACTGGAGGAGAGTGCAAACACCATTGTAAAGAGGCGTGGGGTTTGCGCCCCCCTAAGTTCACTTCCTCCCAGAGTCCTGCAGAGTGAGCTGGCATCATACTCTCCTGGTCTGGGGACCTAAGTGGGGCAAAGAATTTGCAGTCCAGAGAATCAGTGACTGTGAGCAAAACCCCAGGGCACACCAGAGACGCGGTCCCCACCGGCAGCTTTCCTAGATATGATTCCTGTGTATTCAAAGTGCTTCACACAATCCTAGCCACATAAGCACTCAAAACTATTAGCTGTTATTTGAATAAAACCACTTCAGAAATTGCCCTTCATGTCCTAGAATTGATGGGGTGAGGAAAGAAAGGATAAGAAAAGTAGGGATGTTAAAACTCCTACAGTTTATAAAGGGTGTGATTAGAGAGTTTGAGTCAGGATATGGAATGTTAAGAGGAAGCAGAAAATCCGTCCTTTCTTCCATAACCTAACCAAGGAATCTTAGATGGAGGAGGGAGCTAAGAGGTTGTCTATTACCATCGCCCAACAGGAATGCTTTGGCTGATGCATAGGCCAGACAGGTCTCTCTATGCGATGTGCACTTTTCTTTCATAGCAAACATCACTGTCTTACCTATATGTTAACATGCTCTGTTACTTGATTCATGTCTTTCCCATGTGAGTTTAAGTTACATGAAGGTCTTATTGATTCATCCAACAATGTTCACTCTGTTACGGACTCCAACATTGTACAAGGGATATCACCGGGGGAAGAAGACAAAAATCCCTCCTCTCATAGACCTAACACTCAGTGAGGAACATAGCAGCGTATTTTAAGTGATAATATTAAAGAGACATATAAATTAGGGAAAGGGGAAAGGAAATGTCAGAATGGTGGATGTAGTGGAAATTTTAGATATGGTTACTGGGAAAGGCCCCAGCTACCAGGGAGTGCTTGAGTAAAAGACAAAATAAATAAGGATCCAAGCCATAACATTACACAGGAACAAGCATTCCAGGCAGAGGCAGGTGCGAGTGTTCTTTGCGTAGGCAAGGGGAAGGGTCGAAGGTGACGAGGTCAGAGAGGTGAAGCAGGGGCAGGTGGTAGAGGGTCTTGTGAGCCTTGTAAGGGTGTTGGCTATTGGTGAGAGGAAGAAGAGCCGTGGAGCTTTGACAGAGGAGTGACACGGCCTAAAATGCTTGGAGAGGGTTGCTGTGACAGCAGAGTGGGGAGCAGACTGACTGAAGAAGGATGGAGGCAGGAGGGCCAGCCGGGAAGCTGGACGCAGTGATCCAGGCGGCCCGGGCCTGGAGGTGCTGGCCAGTGATTGGTTCCTGGTTGTAGTCAGTAAGCAGAATTAACAGGATTTACTAAGGGACTGGGCATGGGATTAAAGAAGGAAGAGAGCACTCAAGGAAGACTGCCCATATCGGTTCTGACAGGGCAGATGGCATGGAAGAAGGCTGGTCATGTGTTGGGAGAGAAAGCATGTGCTCCATTTTAGCCATTTTTGAGATGCCCATCAGACATCCGGTGGAGATGCTGAGGCAGAAGTTTGACACATTTGCCTTGAATTCAAGGGAGAGTTCCAAGCTGGAACAGTAGATTTGGGAATCATTGACAGTAAGCCTTGAGGTGGGGAGAGAACAGGGACCTTAGCTGCTTTGCTCACCATTGTACCCCCAGCACCCAGCACAGTTTCTACCATGCAATAGGTATTAGGTTTCTGTTGAATGAATAAATAGAATGCATATGGACTGAGGTAGGAGGGAGAAGCAAAGTCCTTAACAGACCATGTTGTATGAGGACAGGAACTTGAGCCTCCTATTTGAAAAGCTCAACCTGTTTTCCAAGTTCAAAGCAGTCATTTTTATGCTGATTCTTTCTCATGAAATGAACATTTTATTGTTTGGGATGACACTGCTTCTGACTTCAAATTACTATCACAAAAATTACTCTTTGGCTTAGTCATCATCTAGTCTTCTAGCAATCTTATAATGCAATCAGGAAGATAAAAAAAAAACAACTAAAAATCAGTGGTTTAAGAGGCAGAAGTTCTATGTCCTAAGTCTATATGACTGAGTTTACATACTCAGCCACAAAGCAAGAGCAGTTAGTCCTGGTCTCCACTGAGATTGAGATAGTGTAATTAAATAAAGGAATAGATGCTTTCAGCTCATGGAACAGAAGATGCTATTTAAATGAACATAACATTATGATGTTGCTTCTTAAATTACAGATGTTATTTGTCACCCTGATGGCAGTTTACAAAGTGTCTACTGCTACAGCCTCCTGATTTCTGGTACCTGTGGAGCATGAACTGAACCTTCAGAGATGCAGCCCAAGAGGAACCTATAACATTAAGCAGAGTGGCCCCCAGTCATCTTACCCATGTGACTCTGCCTATGACAACCCCGCCCATCTTCACTGGACCCAAACAGGAGGAAGGCTGTTGGGGTACCTGGTGGTGGTGATGCAGTGAGGGGAGGAGCCCAAAAGGGTAAAAGCTCAAATTTGAATGTGTGGTGCCGATGCATTGCCAGACAGTGAGGCAGCTGTGCTCAAGGCAGGCACCTTTCCTTGACCTAAGACTTTCAGGGAGCTAAGAAAGACACTCTGGATTCCACCATGGACAGGTAAAGCTGGCTCCTCAGGGCTGGCTGCACTCACTTTTCTTTCAGAACAAGTCTGAGTAATGAGATTGGTGACACTCTCTTTCTTAGCACTCTCTGACTCATGAGATCTGCTTGCTCAATATGTATACTTATTTTTCTGAACCTGTCTCATCTTCTGTTCAGATCTTACACCATCTCTGCCTAATTTTCTCTTTCTTTCTTTCCCACAGTCAAAAGGACTTGCATGCACCTTGTCCTGAGACATGTCCTGCAGGGAGAACTAGTTTTTGGTAATATTAACACAGCAAATGTTTAGAGACTTAAATCATGAAATATAACAGCAATACTATACTGTATTAAAAAGAGTAGTGGTAACTGTAATAATGTAAATACTCAACTATAAATGCTCTTGAAAATAATTTAGTTAATAGTAAAGAAATTATATTCTTTAATGCTAATATTTAAAATTAACTGTGGAAAATTCACTATGATTATGTCTGCTATAAGGAGAAAAATTCAGTCAAGGAAGTTTTTCAATGTTACAAATCCAACTGTTAAGCAGTTAATGGCATTTTTTACTATTTATCTAGTCTCTTCATTTCTTCAGACGTGGCTTAATTTACTCCTCACATGTGATTCTTTAAGATTTTCACAATGTCTTCACATGTGTTTATGACAATCTAGAACTTATCCTATTTCTATTTTTATGATCACTACAAATATAAGACAATCATACTCAATCCATATGCTTTATCTCAATTCTTTTGCAAAGAATTTACTTTAAGATTTTAGTGGTATATTAAGTGTTCTTAAGAAAGTTTTTATGAGGGCAAAAATGTCAAATGTCTGCTCAGCTTACAATAAGATTTTGAAAACTAATCTGAAGTGTTAAGTCACAGGTTAAGGGTCCAGTGGGATATATGTGTTTAATGAAATGCAAATCAGTGGTAAAACCAGTAGCTGCAATTCAGAGAAAGACAAGAAAGAGAGATGAAATTCAACAGGAGAGGAACAGAAATATTATTGTTAAGGAAAATAATACCTGCAGAGCACTTTAGTGATAAAGCATAAGGCAGGAGAGGACTTTGTCACAATTATTTTTAACCCATTTGTCTCTGGTTTGCATTGCTGGGGACACAGCAAGGGTTCTGCGTCAGGGAGCACAGCTGGCACAGCAGCTGGCAGGCAGCCTGCCGGCTGAAAAACTGCCTCTGCAAAGTCCTTCATTAAGAAGAGAAACCACGAGAACAGGGTACTGGGAACTGAGTTGAAAGGAAGTAATGGATCAAGTTAGTTAACAGGTCACAATCAGGCAATTCACTTCCCCATGATTGCTAACATCTGACAGAAATAGGAAAGGACTGCTGGCTTTTCATGTAAGGCAGGAGGTGAAAGTCTGTTTGAATTCCTTCCCCTATGTCATCTCTTTTTCTATACTTCCAGAATACGTTTTCTTTCTCCTTGAAAGAGGTCCCTGCCATACCCGCTGTGGTGCATGATATAGTTAATATATTTTATATTATATATTTATTCATATATATTAATATAGTTCTTATATTTCCCCCATCTCCGCACCCTTTCTCATGCATACAGTCCAGGAGGGTAGGTTAAATATTAAAGAATATATTGGTAAGAGATGATGCTTAATCCGGTTAAAGCTGATGAGTCCCGAAGAGAATTTTTTCTTCAGTATTTATTAAGCACCTGTTAAGTATTCAACTTATACATGCGAAAGACTAGTATATGCTAATTATGTAACAGTAATAATAGCAATGGTGGTGTTGCTATGGTGATTATTACCATAAGTTATCATCTTAAAGCTAATTATTACTAAATCTTTATTAGCACCCATTTTGAAATCCTGCCAAATAAATATCCATTTTAAATTCTAAAATAATGACTGTTAACTTTTATATTGTTTGATACAGTGTGTATATGAGTGATAAATCTAGTTCTCTGTCTCAGGATTTAAAGTGTTTAAGCTTCCTGTGTGTGAAGTGAGACATTTGAAGTGAGAAAGCTATAAAAAGCTCTTGTCCTTACTTATCTACCTAAGAAGATTGACATTTGGATACTTAACTCTTAAATTCAGGACCTATCACATATATAAAATTATTAAAATATAAATTTGCATCATTAAGTCCACACACAGCTGGGACATAAACATTCGTAGAAGCTTTTCATGATAGCCCCAAAGGGGAAGCAATCCAAATGCCCATCAACAGGTGAATGAATACATGAAATGTGCTGTGTTCATGCAACAGAATGTTACTTTCATACAACACCATGAATGAATTTCAAAGTCATTATCCTAAGTGAAAATCAGACACAAAGGAAATGATAATGTATGATTTGCATGAAATTCTATAAAGTGAATAGTAATTTCTAGTTACAGAAGGCAGATCAGTGGTTGGAGAGAGGGGAAAAATTGAAAATGTGGATGAGGAAACCTTGGGAGAGGGTATACCCTGGGAATGTTCTGTATCCTGACAATGGTAGTAGTTTTGGATGTTTACATCTGCCAGTATTCATAGAATTGTACAATTTTAAGTGAGCGAAGTATGTAAATTATACCTAAATGTTAAAAAAAAAAGGTGAAGAAGTTTCAATTCTCTTCTTAGCAAAACCATATTCAAATCCTTGACTAGGTCTTTACTTTTCCAGTTTCTTTGCACTTCTGCTCAATGCCACTAGGAGGCAGCATTGTCTCCACAAATCGGATTGAATCCATTTCTGTTGAAAGAGGGACAAAAGCACGTTCCTTGCAATTCTGCGCAATATCATTAGGTGGCAGCATTATCTCTATATTGGGTGAATACATTTCTAGACAAGACCAGGGACACTATCAGTGCTTTGGTATCAACCACACTGTATAGCTTGTGATAACGTTCACAACTGCAAAGAAACTTGGGTTAGTAGAGACTATTTCCACAACCCAATTCATGACATGCAAGACACTGCTGGGGTTTGGAAAAAAAGAGCAGTTTCTGCATGTGAACAACATAGCATAATATTTAGATTATACTACTGGGATAAAAAGCAGCTGAACACAAAATTACAGATGAAAAGATCATAATCAAAATCTTGTCAATATATGCCTATAGAAAGACTAGAAGGAAAATCCTAAGAATCTTAACAGTAATTGTCATTAGACACTATGTCTAATTACTAGGCACTGATATTCTAATTTTTAACATTAATGAACATTAAAAAATTTTAAACTTTCTACATTTTTGTAGTATTCAAGTTGGCAATAGTCAAGTAGTGCTCTTATACGTTAAAAAATATTACTCATAAAGTAACACTTTCTGCCTCATAACACAGAAAGTCTAATTGGGGAGAAAGATGTCAACAATCAACCAGCAACAAAGGATGAGCGCTTTGCTAGGGATATGCTGGCGAATAGGAAAGTACAGGAGGGGCTTTTGCTGCAGTAATTGTTCAATTTTGCTTAGAAATTTTGGGATCATGCTGGCAAGAAAGGTCTCACAAGAAGAGTTGAAACTGTGTTTAGGCTTTGAAAGATGTGCAAGTTTTGCCCTGTGGAAAAAGGCAGGGGAGAATTCGGTGGGAGGAAGTGCATCATCAGCAGGGTGGCTGAAGAGAAGGCTGAAGGAAAGGAGACAAGTGTCAGGGCTCTGCGGCTTGGGGGGCCTGAAGTGGTGGGAAATGAGGCTGAAATGTATACAGATGTCCAAATGGAAAAGCTAGCCTAAGTACCACAGTCAAGAGTTTGGAGTTTATCTAGTGGACAGAAGAGACTTGGTAGGAGTTTCTCCAGCATGGGAATGACAGAGCACACCTGGGTTTCTGTGAGATCGTGCAGGTGCAGCCCAGAGAAATGTCATGTCAGAGGGCCTGAAGGCTGAGACCAGAACAGATCAGGTGAAAGATGAGGGCCTGGACTGAAGCGGAGCACAGAGAATAGAGCAGGTAGAAATTCAAGAACTATTTGGAGGTCTGAATCAATAAATTTGATCATTAATTAAATATGAGCAGTGAAGGAGAAGAATTAAAGACAATCCCAAGCTTTTAGCCTGGTTTCCTGAAATGGGAACGAGAGGGGAGGCAGGACAGGCAGACAGGGCTGTTTAGGAAGACTGGGCCATGTTGAGTCAGAAGTACATATTGGACACTTAGGTCGAGTCCAGAGGGGAAACCAGAAAACATAATGATGGGGCTGAGGAACAAGTTTGCAATTCCAAGTGATCAGCATCCAGATGACAGCTGGGAAGGAGCCTGTACAGCTTTGGGGTTCTTGCTGTGTCCCAGTTACCCAGTTTCATGTAAGCATGAAAGGGGATTTATAATGGATTCCAAGCCACAGCAAAGGTATCCAGCAAAGGAAGTAAGAGCATCTTCTCTGGTTTGGTCCAACTAATTACAGATTTTTTAAAGCTGAAGGAAAGCCAGGGGTGACCAATCAATGAGCTGTCTTCCAACTCATTTCTCCCTCCTCTCATCCACAGCCTCCTGATGAAGCAGAGGAAGTTTCTTTACCATTTCAAAAACGTCCGCTGGGCTAAGGGTCGCCATGAGACCTACCTGTGCTACGTAGTGAAGCGGAGAGATAGCGCCACCTCCTTCTCACTGGACTTCGGTCACCTTCGAAACAAGGTATCAATTAATATTTGCTTCCCAGGCAGTTAAAAGCTAAACTGCAGGCACTTTTATAGCCACTTAATGATGGTATTGCATTCAGCCTGTTTTGAATTTATGTCTTCACTAGGTTCCTCAAGTCTTTTATTTCTTTTATAGTTCTTATATTTCCCCCATCTCCGCACCCTTTCTCATGCATACAGTCCAGGAGGGTAGGTTAAATATTAAAGAATATATTGGTAAGAGATGATGCTTAATCCGGTTAAAGCTGATGAGTCCCGAAGAGAATTTTTTCTTCAGTATTTATTAAGCACCTGTTAAGTATTCAACTTATACATGCGAAAGACTAGTATATGCTAATTATGTAACAGTAATAATAGCAATGGTGGTGTTGCTATGGTGATTATTACCATAATAAGTTATCATCTTAAAGCTAATTATTACTAAATCTTTATTAGCACCCATTTTGAATTCCTGCCAAATAAATATCCATTTTAAATTCTAAAATAATGACTGTTAACTTTTATATTGTTTGATACAGTGTGTATATGAGTGATAAATCTAGTTCTCTGTCTCAGGATTTAAAGTGTTTAAGCTTCCTGTGTGTGAAGTGAGACATTTGAAGTGAGAAAGCTATAAAAAGCTCTTGTCCTTACTTATCTACCTAAGAAGATTGACATTTGGATACTTAACTCTTAAATTCAGGACCTATCACATATATAAAATTATTAAAATATAAATTTGCATCATTAAGTCCACACACAGCTGGGACATAAACATTCGTAGAAGCTTTTCATGATAGCCCCAAAGGGGAAGCAATCCAAATGCCCATCAACAGGTGAATGAATACATGAAATGTGCTGTGTTCATGCAACAGAATGTTACTTTCATACAACACCATGAATGAATTTCAAAGTCATTATCCTAAGTGAAAATCAGACACAAAGGAAATGATAATGTATGATTTGCATGAAATTCTATAAAGTGAATAGTAATTTCTAGTTACAGAAGGCAGATCAGTGGTTGGAGAGAGGGGAAAAATTGAAAATGTGGATGAGGAAACCTTGGGAGAGGGTATACCCTGGGAATGTTCTGTATCCTGACAATGGTAGTAGTTTTGGATGTTTACATCTGCCAGTATTCATAGAATTGTACAATTTTAAGTGAGCGAAGTATGTAAATTATACCTAAATGTTAATGGATTCCAAGCCACAGCAAAGGTATCCAGCAAAGGAAGTAAGAGCATCTTCTCTGGTTTGGTCCAACTAATTACAGATTTTTTAAAGCTGAAGGAAAGCCAGGGGTGACCAATCAATGAGCTGTCTTCCAACTCATTTCTCCCTCCTCTCATCCACAGCCTCCTGATGAAGCAGAGGAAGTTTCTTTACCATTTCAAAAACGTCCGCTGGGCTAAGGGTCGCCATGAGACCTACCTGTGCTACGTAGTGAAGCGGAGAGATAGCGCCACCTCCTTCTCACTGGACTTCGGTCACCTTCGAAACAAGGTATCAATTAATATTTGCTTCCCAGGCAGTTAAAAGCTAAACTGCAGGCACTTTTATAGCCACTTAATGATGGTATTGCATTCAGCCTGTTTTGAATTTATGTCTTCACTAGGTTCCTCAAGTCTTTTATTTCTTTTTCACATGTCCATGAAACCGTAATAGGTATGTCCTAAAGAATGTCACTCCACGCCTTCCCAGGTCATGCTGGGCATATTAATGCCACACTCTGCTTCAATGCCGGGAACAGCTGCCCTCAAACTCTCCTCCCCTTTCCCCAGTGTCCAAATTACCTTTGAGACTAAGGAAGAAATAAATGGTAAGAGCCTTTTGATTTGGAGGAATATTAGCAGTGCATGCAAGCTAAATTTTAAATGTGAAAAACAAACTATGTCTTCAGAATTTTTGAAAATTAAGAAAAATTTGGGAAGAATTAATATGACCCAATTCTGTTTAACAAATGCTTTCTATTCCCTCCATAAATCATAGACCAGTGGGTACAGTCAGTATGGTGAAGCCTAGAAAACTGGGGGGAGCCTCAATTAGTTGACTAATTAAATCAACCTCTCAGCAGTAGAAGATCAGAGAATTACATTCTCAAGAGATAACTGGTGCATTGAGTCCCCTATACAGAATTTTATTGTTGTTAACAACCATTTGATCAATAAATGAGAAATGCCCTCTCAAAAAAAAAAAAAAGAGATGACTGTACATAAGCTTCCACCAAGGAATATTTCTTCTCTCATAACATGGGATGACATCTGGTCTTCACATTTGACATTCCACCCACGAACCCATGGGTGGAATGACATTGTCTGGCTCCTTGCTTAAGTGTTTTACTATTCAACTATCTTTGCCTTCATTTGTATTGTGTTAATTACCTCACTGCAATTGTTTCATTTTCTAACCTCTTACCTGTTTGGTGAGATGACACCTTCTAGCTCTGGAAGGCTTTGCTGCTGCCAGCCCTTTACTTCTCTCCTTCAATCCTCACAACACCAACCCTTTTTACTGAGGAGGAATTAGAAGATCCAAGAGTTGGGTAACTTGTCTAAGTCATATGAGTCACGACCATAGGGTAATGATGCCAGAAAAAGAAACTGAGGTCTTCAGATGCTGGGACTAATGACTGTTCTGCAGTTCTAAGGACTTGCTATGTCTCTCATGTTGCGATCTTTACAATCACAGAGATGATACATGAGCAGACACATTATTTAATTGCTTTTGGCTGCGCTATTACCTGTCCCACCACACCCACCTGCTGGCTTCACCATCTCTCTTGCCTCTTCCAGTCCTTCCAACTATAAATTTCCCCACCTCCACCTAGTGGTGCAGTGTATTTCCACAATGTTATGTGACAAGCACTTCCAAGCCCTTTGCCTTCTCAAAGGCACAAGAAGTCACTTCACAACCACAGCTTAACCTCTTCTTAGTGTTCTCCTACCTGGTGCACACCCAGCCCCTTTCATCCTCTCCATTCCACAGAAAATCCACTCCACCCCGCAGGGCCCAGGGTTCAAAGGGTCCTGGCTCACACCTACTCTGTGCTCTTTGGGGCAACTGCTTAACCTTTCTGTAGCCTAAGGACAAAACTGCAGACACCCTACAAATATCACTGGGGGAGGAAGAAGAGCTCCGCAGCGGAAGTCGGGGAACCTCAGTAGGGTGCTCTCCTCTCTCCGCAGTCCGGGTGCCACGTGGAATTGCTCTTCCTGCGCTACATCTCCAACTGGGACCTGGACCCTGGCCGGTGCTACCGCGTCACTTGGTTCACCTCTTGGAGCCCCTGCTATGACTGTGCCCGGCACGTGGCCAATTTTCTGAAAGGGAACCCCAACCTCAGTCTGAGGATCTTCACCGCGCGCCTCTACTTCTGCGAGGACCACAAGGCTGAGCCCGAGGGGCTGCGGCGGCTGCACCGCGCGGGGGTCCAGATCGCCATCATGACCTTCAAAGGTGCCCAGGGGGGCTTTCCGCACCGCCTTGGGGCCGCTCTCATTCGGGAGGGCAGCTCAGGCTGAGAACAGTTGGGGACAAGCGCAGGGGGGACACTGGAGCCCAAGTTACCAGCTAGAACTGAAGAGAAAGAAGCAATGACTCGGGCACCGGGCATTGGGGCAAAATGGGAATGAAAGGGGACTGTAGTTTTCTTTCTGTCCTCTTGATTTGGGAAATGAATTATCTTCTACCCCTTCCCCCTCTCTTTTTAAAGATTATTTTTATTGCTGGAATACTTTTGTGGAAAATCGGGAAAGAACTTTCAAAGCCTGGGAGGGGCTGCATGAAAATTCCATCCGTCTGTCCAGACAGCTTCGACGCATCCTTTTGGTAAAAGACTTTCTCTGCTTTTCATTTTCTTCCTCTCTCCACAGATGTTGACATCTCTCCTACTGGAGTGCTTTCCCTTTGTTTCACAGTTTGGAGCACTCTGCTCAGACTTCTCCCCCTTCCCCCGGTCACTGGGGTCTTCTTTCTGTTACCTGCCCCTCAGGATTGTTTCCCCTCTGCTTCCTACTCCCTCCCAACCCACTTTCTTCCAAAAATGTTACAAAGTCATCCACTCCGTTTATTTCTCTTTCCCCGCAGCCCCTGTATGAGGTTGATGACTTACGAGATGCATTTCGTACGTTGGGACTTTGATACCAACTTCCAAGAATGTCACATACAATGAAATACCTCTGAAGATAGTGGGTACAAGGCCAGTCCTTCAAGAATTCTGTTTTTCTTCAACTCTCACTTTCTTAGAGTTTAGAGAAAAATACTCATATGTATGACTTACAAAAAAAACGTCTTGAAAATGGAGAAGGAACGGGGCCCACCGAGGGGATGATGCAATAGGTGCAGTTTTTAACGCAACAGCGTCCCCTGCTGGGCAACGACAGGACTGCGGGGCCTGGGAGCGAGAGCATCCATAGGACTTCTAGGCCGCGGGGAACGCAGACGTAAACCCTTAAAAGCATGCTGAGGTCCGAATGTGTTTATAACCAGTATCCTTTATCATTTTATTCACTCTGAGTTATCAGTGGTATTACTGATAGACTTTTCTACTCTTTTCCTTTGGGGTTCCCTTCCAAGTGAACAAACTTCCACCCGGCCATGATCGACAGAACCTAATGAGAGAATCTGGGTGATTGTAACCCCCAACTATCTCTTCAAAGCATTAATCCAAGCATATGCTGTATGTTTTAATTGTCTGCGGCATGTTTTCATGTTTGTATATAAGAGGATTTCTTCTGGATACGAAATATGTGTGGTCACCTTCAGGCTATTTTAGAACAGGATCTTAAAATGAATATGAGGACTGTGAATTAGACACTCAAAAAGTGAGTTGACTCCTAGACTAAAATCTGGAAACATTCTTTTTAAAGTCCTTGATTTAGAAACCACAGCCTCAGATGTCCTATATTAGTAAAGGCTTAGAAGGGAGATGCTTGGATGTTGAGAAGAGAAAAAAAAAATCTATTCTCTCAGAGGGTCTTTTAACCTCAACAGTGTGGAACAGGTCAAGACTTTCTACCTTTTGTATATATGTGACACCCCTCTCAGTAAATGTTCACTGTATAAGAGTGTGACAGAAGAGAATAATATTTGGGAGGAAAGGATGGCAGAGCATTGCAAGGAAATAGTATTTTTTATCCAGCAAGATGTAAGGAGTCAACATGGCAGAAGAGCATTTATTTGTCCCTACAACTGTCCTCGACTGTGAGAATATTCAGAATAATCCTATCACTGCGCAGCTGTTACTTAGCAACCCTTGCAATGCGGATAAACAGATCCCTTGGGACAAGTTGAATGCCATGCACAATTGTACTGTTTTAACCTTACTGTACATAAGTTTGTGAATGAGTTAAGTATGGGTGCTGGGACCAGTGAATAGAAGAATAGTCTTTCAACAAATTGTGCTGGATGACTGGACATCCATATACAAAAGAACAAATTTGGGCCTCTACCACATACAATAGGCAAATGTGAACTCAAATTTTATCAAATGACTAAGTGTAAGAACTTAAACTATAAAACCCATAGAAGGAAACAGGTGGAAACCTTCATGACCTTGGATATGACAACAGTCTCTTAAATATAACACCAAAAGCACAAGCAACAAAAGAAAAAACAAATCAAGAAATTAGAATTCAAAACTGGAAACTTTTGTGCATTAAAGGACAACAGTAATAAAATGAAAAGACAGCTCACAGAATGGGAGACAATATTTACAAATAATATATCTGATAAGAGGCTAATATCCAGAATATACAAAGAACTCTTATAACTCATCACAAAAGACAACCTAATCTAAAAATGGCCAAAAAACTTGAATAGACATTTCTCCAAAGAAGGTTTACAAATGGCTAATAAGCGCATGGCAAGATGCTCAACATCCTTAGTCATTAGGGAAAGCAAATCAAAACCCCAGTGAGGTATCACTCATACCTACTAGGATGACTCTAAACTAAAAAAAATAGTTAACAATTACTGGTAAGGATGTGGAGAAGTTGTAACTTTCATATACTGGTTGGTGGAAATATAAAATTGTGCAGCTGCTATGAAAAAATTTGGTGGTTCCTCAAAAGTTCAACCCAGGATAACTATCATCTAGCAATTCCACACTTAGGTCTATACCCACGAGAATTAAAAACACATTAAAACAAAAACATGTATGCAGATATTCATAATAGCCCCAAAATGGAAACCCCCATCAATTGATAAATGGATATATATCCATGCAGTGGTATTTTATTCTGTCATAAAGAGGAATGAAATATTAATGGATATATATCCATGCAGTGGTATTTTATTCTATCATAAAGAGGAATGAAGTATTAATACCTACTACAAATGAATGAACCTTGAAAATATTGTGCTAAATCAAAGAAGCCAGACACAAGATGCCATGTAAGATATGATTCCATTTATATGAAATGTCCAGATTAGGTAAATCCATACATACAAAAAGATTAATGATTGTAGGGGCTAGAGGGAGAAGGGAAATGTAAGTAACTTAGTGGGTATGAAGTTTCTTTCTGAGGTAATGAAAACTGGAAATTTAGTAGCGGTGATGGTTGCAAAACATTGTGACTGTACTAAAAAAAAAACACTGTATACTTTAAAATGGTTAAAATTTTCATTTATGTGTAAATTTATCAATGAATTTATGAATATGAATTTTATGTTATGTGAGTTTTGTCTCAGTTTTTTAAAAAGTCCATGTGACTTTGGAGGCAAAACTGAATCTGAGTTCTGGTTCCATGTGACAGTGGGCAAGGTATTTAACCTCAGCCTTAATTTCCAATCTGTAAAATAGATATGATAATGTTAACTTTTCTCATATTTTGGTAAGTGTTAAATTAGAAGATAACACAAAACTGGTATTTCTTAGTGCACATCATCGATCATTGCCATCTTTTCTGTTTGAAAGACAAAATCTAGAAATCACTCCTGACAACCCCCTCTGCCCACAAATTCAGTCCTATAGACTTTGTGTGCTAAAAATCTCTTGAATTCCTTTACTTTCATGCATCTCCTCTACTAGCTCCTGAAAGAAGACAACAGCAAAAAACAAAACTGACCTGGCACTCACAACCAGGCCATATTATTTTCCTGTTGGATATAAAATCTCATATTATACCAGCTTTAGTCTAGGACCTGATCAAGAGAGAAAGCAAAGCCACTTCATAATTTGTCTGAGGCCCGCACAAAATACCAGCCATCCACTCTACTGGCTGAAAGGAATGACTGCTGCCTCTTCACCAGTTATGGATTTGTCCTTGTTCTAGTCAGCCTTCCCTAAGGACTTAGAGACACCTGCAATATAATGAGTTGTAAGAAATACATATTTGGTCATTCAGATGACCAAATATGTATTTCCCAGTTATATGTGGTCTCCATTCACAGTTCTGAAAATGAAATGGGTGTCTTGTTATGTTAATGATGATGTGCACTAAGAAACACCCCACCCAAGGGCGGGTGCTTCTCTGTGGGAGAGAGAGAGAGATAAGCTCCTCCCAGGGGTTCTTTTGTGGGCTTCACTGCACAGTCATGATTGACTAAGCCGTAGGTTGTTGGCTGATTCAACTTCCAGCCCCACCCCCATCTCCCGAACCTCTGCCCTTGGGTGGGTCCGAAAGCCTTCATTAACATGACAAGACTCCAGTTTACCTTTAAGGCTCTGGAGTACTTTCTGGGACTGTGGACAAAAGACCAAATATACCTGGGAAATATTTGACCAAATATGTACTTCTTATAACTCATAATATCATAACACCCATTCATAGAATTGACCCCACTCCTTCACAACAACCAGTCTAAAGTAAATCCCCATTTTCTGGACCATCTCCAAATCACCAAAGTCCAAATTCTATAACTGAATTTACAACCATGAAGTGTCTTGGTAAAAGAGACACCCTCTTCCTGAGACACTTGTGGCTCTTGGGCCCCTGTGATGCATGTTCTCACTGCATAAGTAAAACCCACTGGTTCAAGTACAGTGGTGTTCCTTGCAGTCTTTAGCTTGAGGCCATTGACCCACCTTAGTTGGTGCTATCAGCATCCCAGTCTATTGCAATAGTTACAGTATTCACTAATTCCTACTACATTTTACTGATAATTATGCCATAGCAGTAGTGATAAGGTTGTTTTCTGTTTTTTTAATTATTATTATTAAGGTACCGTTGATATATAATCTTATGAAGGTTTCACATGAGCAACATTGTGGTTACTACATTCATCCATATTAAATGATAAGGTTGTTTTTAAGAAAATTTCATGAGAAATAAATTCTGAATCAGTTAATCATGCATTCATTCTTCCTACTATTTATTGACCAATGATTGGTGCATAGCATTATAATCAAAATAACAGATATTTTTTTTAAAAGCACAAGTCCCTCTCTTCCAGAAACTTACATTCCAGCGAGAAAGACAATCCAGGTACATGGAAAAAATACTATGTAAGTTTCCAAATGGGAATTGGAAGCCTTTTTGTACAGAAAGTGTTATTTTAGAATTCAAGTAATGTTCAATTTTTAAAGATACAAATTTAAGTATCTAATTTTTAAGCTTTTAAACTTCAGTCTCATATGATTTACAAATTTGATTTTCTATTAAATAAGAGCAACCACTTTCACTTGTTCTTTAATATTAGAGCAACTCAACATACTGATTAAACTTTTAAAAACAGTGCTATTTACAAATGTGATTACACTGCTTTTGATATTTTAAGTTATATTATCTATAGTAAGATAGCTGCTTTTAATCACCTTAAATGCTCTGCTCCAGAGGGCAGATCTACAGACAAATCTGACAAAGTAAACCTATAAAATGGCAAAACAAATTCATATATTCCAAACATCTCCGTACTGTTTATAGCCTTCATCAAATTCTCCTAAACTTTTCAGGTTAAAGTGCCAAGATCTAATATGTCAAGTCTTTAGATTGCATTTGCATGCATATTATCCTGAACTAAAATCAATGGCATTAATATGATTGGTTTGGTCTACTTCAGGACAATGATGTAGTTGCTTATCCACCAGAGGATTAGATTCCAGACCAGCATGGAATCTGAGAACTCCATACGCTGTTCCAGGGCTTATTCTGTTAGGGTAACAAGGGAATGATGAGCCCTTTTGTAGGGTTGATTTGTCACCAGGAGATCCCCAAGTATTCTTAGTAACCTGATGGTAGTTACTTGACTTGGACAGATGGAATTTGGACCCCCTACCCCGTTGCAGCTAACTTCCTTCACTACTTGACTGGATCCAATGAATCTCACTGATCGATTTGACTGAGGATTCTTTCCAGTCTTGACAATTCTCATAGTCATCCTCAAGCTGGGAAGTTGAATAACTACAATGCAGCCTGACTAGCTTGCCAGTCACCACATGACTTAATGACAATTACGTGTTAACGGTAATGCTTTGGATTTCTAGAAGGAATAGATTATTGTGGGTTGAATAAAGCAAGAAACAATCTATAATGAGGTTGAAGTTTACCCAGACCTTGGACATATTAAAGAAATACTTCAATATGTTTCAAAAAAAAAAAAAAGTCCCTGTGGATAATGTAATAAACAGCTCAATTGTGACTTTTATGAATTAGGTAAAATACTTTTAAAATTGATACCATTATGATGAAATAATCAATTCCGTATACTTTTAGAGGGAGAGACAACTAAAACAGTATTTTAAATGCATATGACCTTTAACTCAGCAATTCCATTTCTAGGAATCCAGTCTGAAGAAATATCTCTCATATAGGTACCCAAGGATATTCATTCCCACACTGTAGTAGGGAGAAGCTTAAAGTAACTGAAAGTCACTAATGGAATGGTAAATATATCATTTAACAGCTGTACATTAGAAAGTATGTGTGGCAAATTAGAAGAATGATATAAAGCTGCATAAAAAGAGAGACATAGAAAAATAACCAAGCCATACTGCTAGCTGAAAAAAAATCATTTTAAAACATTTTCTATAGCTTGATCTCATTATGCTCTAATGTGTATAGATAGGTAAATAGACTTTTTAAAATACATGCATATACATATATGTTTACCAAAAGGGCTGAAAAGATAAAACCCAAACGATTTGCTGTGGTTACCTCCAGAGAGAAAATTGGATGAGAGGAAGAAGGTAGAGGAAAGGCAACTTTCACTATTTACTCCATAGATTTCTGCAGAAAAGCGTAACTTGTACATTTTTGATAATTAAAAATGTTTAAATTACCATTTAAAACTTAGGATTTGATAGGAATCCGTATTTTATAATCTCCAGTGTTCACTTACTAGTGTATAGATATTCTGCCACTTTAAGGAATTGAGAAAATTCCATTAAAATGAATCTAGCAGAGGGGTTGGCAAGCGTCTTTCTTTGACTGTCTAAAAACTTTCCTCCTACTACCAATGAATTATGAAACACTAGACAATTGTAAAGGCTACGCAATCTGCTGGAGAGAGAGCCTATCAGTCAAACATCCACCAGGGAAAGAGAACCAGTGGAAGACACATACCAAGAACTGGCTTACATGAGCGTGGGAGCCAGCCAGGCAAGTCTGGAATCAGCAGCACAGGCCCTCAGGAAGGGATGGCAGGAACTCAGGGGCAGGAGCAGATGCTTCTGTCCATAGGTGGAATTTCTCTGCACTGTTCTGTCCTTAAATACTTGAAGCTGATTGGATCAGGCCCACCCAGATTATCTAGATACTTCCAGTCAACTAACTGTGGACTTTAGACATATCTGCCAAACATTACAGAGCAACACCTAGATCAGTGTTTGATTAAATAACTGGGGGCCCAGCCACAGTTGAGGCATAAAATACATATTCATATCCACACGTGAAAAATGAAAAACAAAAGCACACATGTCACAGAGAATTAACATTTTTGCCAGCCGACCTCATGCTCGTCCTGGTGTGATCACTTGGCATACCTTGCCTCACCCCGTCACATTGATGTAACCCAAGGCTGGCTTCACGCAGGGGGCTTTAAACGTAACTGGGACTCTGAAGTCTACTTGTGTAAATCACTTAGTTTCAGAACAGAGACTGATTCAATTTACTTGTTATTTTGTAGCCACATGTATTCAAGTGACAGGAAAAGTGAGATGGTCCAATGACAGGCTACCTTTTCATCTCTTTTTTAGGGACCACATGGCCTCTGTGTTGGTCTCTAATGTCCCCTTTTTTCCCCTAAGGGTTCCTGTGTTGACACCCCCCTTAGTAACTGACTTTCTCGGCTTCCTCAGCATCTGCCCCATGATACCTTAACTTGCAGCATAGATGCTCTTATTTTCTCTATTTTTCATTCTTAATTCTTATAGCTAGTTGGTGATTTTTTTTCAAGTTACTCAAAGAGGGACAATTTAATTGCCCCAAAGAATCATTTGCTCATTCAAAATATGTTACTAGTAAGGTTGTATATCAGTGGGAATTAGAAATGAGAAGCATAGAACAGTTTATAAAGACTTGATTTGAAATGGTGAATGACTAGGGATGAAGGTTCCAAGGGGAGAGTGAATAAAATGCAAACTGCAGGTTTCTATGCAGACCAGAACTTTGCTCCTTCATGATAGCTGTGCTTGAGAGAAATATATCACACCTGAACCCGTGGGTCCCACCTGGTGGGCCCAGTCCTTGCCTAACTGGCTGTCTATCCCATCCCTTGTCCCATAAGACCATGTGACTCGTGCCCATACCTAATAGCACTTAACCACCAAACTCAAAGCCTGAGCACCAGCTTCTCATGGTCTCCCTGGAACCCCTTTGGCTTATTTCTTTCCTGTCTGTGCTCTAAACTCTAGTCTCATTAAATTGCCTTAGTTCTAATCTCTGTTGTTCTAAGATTTGAATCTGTGTGTCTATTGCTGAAATTTACATCTTGGTTCTCCCCTACCCAGGCTTAGCTCAGCCCTTCAGGTTTGGGCAAAAGTTGTTGGTCTTGGTAGGAACAGAACTCTACGTCAAAACTGTGAAATCGAACTCCACTTTCTGGTGACTCTGACCGGCCAACTGGTCCTATTTCCCTCTAGCAGAGAGAGGGAGGAGTCGTTTGTTTCTGTGCCAAGTATTTTTTGAGCACCCACCCAAAAAATACCCAAGTGTTTTTTTGCTGAACTTTGTGATAGGTGCTGGCACTAACAAGTTAATGAGAAAGTGTCTTTCCCTTTAAAAAAGGGAAAGACCAATCATTACACACAATTACACACAATCTGAAAGAAGTACACAGACATATTCAGACATATGCATGGAGGAGGTCATTTTAGTTAGCCTGAAGATTCAAAGAAGGCTTTCTAGAGCGGGATACCCTTGAACTTAACTTTGTTTCCAGTTTTACATAATTTTCTAACTTAAGTATTATATACATAGAGGAAAGTGCATGACTCATAAGTGAGAGTTTGAGAATGTTCATACACACATGACAGACACCAAGATCAAGAAACAGAACATCACACTCCCCTCCTGCCTCCTCCCAGCCCTCCTGCTTAAATTAAAAGTTAGTAGTGAAACGTGGTTAGATACATGTGGCAGAGAAAACAGCCTGTTTGACTCTGGAGAGGTTCAGAGTAGCACAGAAGGTTTAAGGATATGTAACTAAATGGTGGAAGAAGAGGCTGGTTGGAGATAATCTGATCTCTTCTACCCACAGGACTGTGAAAAACCCTGCATTAAATTGAGGAGTTTAATTTTTATTTATTATTGTTTTTAAGTGAAGTTGACAGGGGAGGTATTTAATCTTTAAATAAAAGGCTATAGAATATCTGAAAGAATTTTTTTAAAGGGAGAATAACTTGATCCAATTTGCCATCTAGGCACATTCTGGCAGCAGTACAGAGGATGAGGTTCAGACTATCAACAGGACACTGGGAAGTTTCTTACTTATTGCAGGGGGGCCTGGATAAAAGGCAGGGCTGGAGTCCTGGGAAGGGAAGGGGCTGGTGAATACAAGGGAGTAGCAGCTCCCTTCAGATAATTAGATGTGGCAGAGGCTGTAGTTGAAAATAACTCCTAGGTTTCCAGTTTGAAGAATGACTCGATGGTAATCCCATCACCAAGAGAGAAAAAAGAAGAGGAAATAAAGAACAGGGTGGTAAAGACCATGAGCTTATGTTGAGACTTGCAAAAGCAAATAAATGGCTGGATAGAGAGGTCTATCTATCCCCTCTGGATAGAGAGGGCTGGAAAAAAATACATTT